ACTAAAAATTTGCAAAACCTGGCAGCAAGGATTTTTTGAAAAAATATTAATTTTTGAGAGCCAAGATGATATTTTCTGGAAAAACACAAAGAAGAAACCCCCCTCAAAATTGAGTTTTCTATGTGACTCATGAGGAAAAATGAAAAAAATGCATTGTGACATACCCGAAATGCCCCGGGAACAGAATAGAATAAAACTCCCTAAAAATGCTACTTAGAGTTTTTGTTTCATCGTGAAAGGTATTGTTTGCCAAAGTGAGCATGCAAATGTATGTAATATGATAAAATAGATGTGCTACAATGGCCTATGGCCTCATTACAATACACTTACAACATTTGACATGTCAAACCTCCAAGTTAAAAAAATTACATTTCATAGACAAATCATGAACATGCTAACACTTGCATGTGAACAAGAATGCTTCTAAAAAAGCTCAACTCAGCAAATCACCCAAGCAATTGCAATCTCCAATCTTGTATCTTGTACCTAAAATATGCCCCAGTATCGTAAGGGTGAGTAACATAAAGCTACTCGTAGGAAATGAGCATGCATCGACCTACATTTTACAAGTGTACATGATTTAATCATTGTGGTTCATTCCACCTAACGTCTATGTCAAAGGTAAGACTTAGGGAGCATCCTAGTTACCTAAGATCATTTATAGCATAAAACACATCCTTTATGCAATTTCAACAACAAAAGAGCATGCTACACATAGTAACAAGATATAACATGCTTACACAAAGCAACCAGATAGAAACATGCTTACACAAAGCAACTAGATATAGATTCTCAAATTTATCAACTTGAAATCTAAATGCTAAATTAACTAAATATAGCAATTTAGTATGGATGTACTTAACAACATCAAATTGCCAATAGCCAAAACCACAGTCACAATATAAACATGATTGATAACTTAGAATTGAATGCGAAAACAAATAGTGAAAGACTTAGACATCAGTCGGATGAGACCGATACAGGGCTAATTTGGAGCTACTAACCCCCAGGTAGCCTACCCAACGCGCGAACTTTTCTGGGCTAATTTAGAGATACTAACCCCTAGGCAGCCTACCCAACGCGCGAACTTTTGACTTAGAAGACTCTTGTCCCCGTACTAGAGCCAAACCCTAGCCATCATGCAATGTCCTGAGTGGTTCTAAAATAAATAGATAAGTTTACAACTTATATACGTATTGAATAGTACACGAAACTACCTTCATGCACAAGTAGGCTGAAACCACACAACACATGCTCTAAATCCACAACTACTATAGGATGACAATGTCGAATCTTCATAGCGCGATTCGTTACGCGCTATAATAACATCACATATCGAATCTTCAGAGTGCGATTCGTTACGCGCTATAACAATATAATTCAATATTGAAACATAACTCATAAATCCATTATAAGTCAAAAGTCATGCTTTAAACATACTATCAATGTCAAATACATGAGTTAATCAATAATACAATAGAAACGGAATTTAATCAATAAACTAATTAAATTCCCTAGGTTTCAAATCTCAATCAAATAGCCTCCAATTAATACATGATAAACAATATAGCATGGTCATTACATACACCACATCAAAACTCGATTAGGCCATAAGAATAATAAAGTGGAATTTAATTAAATCATGATAATCAAATCCCTTACTTCTAAAACAATATCAAATGGTTCCAAATTAACATATGCTAGAACATAAGTCATTGTTATCACAAATATCAAGTTAAACACTTAATTAGGCCAATGGAACCCTTAATTAGATTTTAATTAATCATTTTAATTAAAATCTCTAGATTTTCATACTTGTCCAAATGCTCTCAAATTATAGTATGTTAAACAACATGCCAAGACATATTTTAAAAGCATATCACAAGTCAATTTTATGTTAGGTACGGCCATGGGATTTAATCTTTCACAAAAGATAAATCTTAAATAAAATATACAATTCTTATTCAATTAATCCCAATTTAATATATGTTAACAAACATATTAAAACATGATTTTCTAGCATGCCACAATTCTATTCTAAGTTATACACATCCTTGTGAATTAAATTTCATACAAAGAAATAATTAATACTAATTTTCTAGAATCGATACAAGGTATGCAATTAAGTTGTATAATCATACTAAACACTCAATACAACACACACAAAAGCCTAGAACATCCCCTATCTCAATTTGAGATGAAAATCTCAAAAACCACCAAATGGAAACCGCTCCGAATCCGACGAAACTTCTAGGTTTTGTCGGGGACTACACCGTGCACATAACCCCCAAGGAAGCCCCATCAAAATCACAACTTGACTTCAAACCCAAACTCAAAGAATGGTCAGAAATGGGTTCTAATAAGGGTGAAAGAAGCGCGTAGTCAACACGAACACTAAACGCAAAGGCCCTTCTATGTTCTGACGAAGGAATGAAGCTCAAAAGAGGAGAGAGAAGGTGGTAGCCTCCCTTGGGCTGCCATGGAAGCTTCAGGTCATGCAAGAGAGTGGGGAAGGTGAAAAAATAAAATATCTCACCCCCCTTTTATAGCAATCTCAAAAAGTGCCCCGAACGGGCCCCGCCGAGTCCGAAAAAGTGAAATTTGAGCAGACGAGCTCAAATGACAAAACTCTGTGAACAAAAAAGATTCAAAATGAGAAAATATGAATAACGGAAGAAACGGCGTCAAAAACCGAGTCCCGAGAAGAAAGTTATGCCCTAAACAAGTTTGGCGCTGACCGAGACCAAAAATTCTGAAACTGGAAAACAATGACCAGAAGGAATTTCTAAGAGTACCCAACTCGACGAAAAGTGAAAATGAATCCCGTACGAGGATTCAGGCTCAAAACAAGATATTTAGCAATAACTTTTATTAATTACACAATGGCCCCTCCAAAAAGTGAAAACGGCACTAATGGCCCAAAATGAAAATATCTTCCAAAAATATTTTCTTAAAAACCCCGGAAATAAAATATCTTCCAAAGATATTTACAAAAAACACCCTAAGAAAAGAAAATAATTTCAAAGAACTTTGCATCAATGTCCCTATGGACACCGGGAGCAACTAGAGTATTTTCTTGCAAAAGTAAAGATACGTATTTCGTGTAAACCACTTAAGATGGAGATACATGAAGTCAAAAACTAACTTCAAACACAAGAAGTGTGGTTACGCTAACAAAGTGTCAAACGGGGAAAAGACAAAATAGGGACAAGGACGAAAAGTGAATAGTGTCGAAAAATGAAAAATGTGGAAACGACTCGGTTCTCAAAGGAAGTTGTCAATTCACATAAAAGAGTTTCGGAAATCACTCCAGAACACTCGAGACGACACTAAGCGAAGAGGAACTGAACTCAGAAAGGAAAGACAACGGAAAAAAAAAAAATTTGTGAAAATCCGGGTCATTACAGTTGTCCCAAAATACTTATCCACTTACCAAGTTTAAATAACATATTTCACAACTTTCCATACATACCCTTAAAATTTTAAAAAATTTTAAACTTGATTCTATATATATTTAAATTTGAAATGGTATCTTTATAATTTTTTAGGGGAACAATGCAATAATTACATAACTCCTTAAAAAGTTCTATTCCCTTAAAAGGACATCTAATATGGGATGAAGGGAGTGTTATAGTGTTGGCTGCGCATCTATGTCACTATTTTCAACAGTTTATAATCTTAACAATATCTATGGACAGGGAGTTATCTACAAATTTATTTTGTTCGGTTAGAGCAATTTATTTTTTCTTACATTTTTGTGTTCACTTAGTGCAAGGATGCAAATTCAATCAATTGGAGAAGCAAATGATCGTGCGTTGGATTAGCATTGTTGGTGGTTCCGAAGGCACACTAGGATTCGAGGACACTAAGCGTCAGTCATTAAATAAACAACAGATGATTCCGAAGGCTGTAGAATCATTATTAACTCTTGTGCAGAGCGGAGCAGTTCCAAAGGCTTTAATTAGAACTAGTTGTACTCTTTTTCAAAATAGTGAATTGTTTCACTAGAAACTATTAGAGGTTTTCTCCTAAAGATTAGAGGTTTTCTCCGGATGGTATTTCACGTAAAAATGATGGTGTCATCTCTTATTCCCTTTTATTCTACTTCATTACTTCATTTTTATTGTTTCATGTGGTTGATTTATTAAGCATTAATCAATTAAAATAAAAAAAATAATCTAAAAATCAATCAAGCGAGCAAACTATACTTTCTTCTGAGATCAAACTTCCATACCATTTATGCACTGCACAACTCACAATTTTCCAATTTACCCTAAAAATTAATGATGAGTCAAATGTACTTAATTTTATGTGTAGCGTTCTCATCGAATATTTTTTTTATTTTTTTTTTTCCTAGTTAGTACTCAACTACACTTGTCTCTTCTGAGACTTGAATCTCTAACCTCCTTTTGAGAAGTAAGAGACTGATACAGTTAGGTCACTGGCCCTTTGAAGTTTTTGGATCATATGAGCATATATTTCTGCCCTTTTTATGTGCTTCAAAAGGTATGAACCGATAAAAATTAAAATATATGGAATATCGTGGCGTCCATCAAGTTAGGTTAATTGCTTTTGTTTAATTTCAGCAGTGGACTAGGGGTATTTTGGCCATTTAACAGACCAAAGTTATTTTCTTCATTTTGTATCTTTTAAAAGGAAAAAGAAGGGGTGTCCTTGCACCTTAATTGGGTAGAAAGGGGTATGCAGTTTGAACTGTACTAGCAGTGTTTTTATTTTTGGAGAGAGAAGAAAATACTATCAAAGTTTACTAAACTGTATACTGGATTTAAGCCAAACTGGTTGAATGACAAAGATGTATGCAACCAAGCTGATCGATCTATGTAACCCAAATTTGAAGATATGAATATTCTTGAAAATGGTGAAGCAAAGCATAATAAGTTAACCCTCCACGTACGATAAGTCATTTAAAAAGGATTCAAAGTTAAAAAGAGTGAATATATGCTTTGCAGTGGAATTAAGCTAAGAAATCCAAAGAAAGAAGAAGAAGAAGAAGAGAAAGGAGCAAAAGCTTCACTGCCACAGCTTTTAAAGCGCTCATGCAACTTAGCCTACAAAAACCCCCTCACTCATACCATCTTATTCTCACCCCCATCACCTTCCTCCAATCTCCCACTTTCACTTAATTTTTCTAAATTCCCGTTTTTTCGATGGCCAAGACTATCTCCACATCAAATCATAAAGCATTCCATGTTTTGGGGCTGTTTAGTATTCTGCTGTTGATCCAGAAAAGTAGTGCATATGAGTTCAAGGTTGGAGGCTCCAATGGTTGGGCAGTTCCTTCTAATTCCAATGCTCTCAGCTACAATCAGTGGGCAGAAACAAGTCGATTTCAAATTGGAGACACTCTATGTAAGTTTGTTTTTTTTTTTTTTTTTTTTTTTTTTTTTTTTTTTTTTCTCTCTCTCTCTCTCGGAAGGCTAAGCAAACACATACTGTTATGGACCCATGGATCTACCCGGGTGCCCCCCCTAATTTTTTTTCCTAATATTATACCTCCTATTTTTGTCATTTTGATATATATATATATATATGAAATATTATCTTTACCTCACATGAAATTATTAAAAAAATCAATATTCTCTCATCACTGTCCCTGTCTTGCACTGAGGCCCGAACACCGACCTTCCTTTTGGGGAGGAGGGCTTGTAGTATTGTCCATTTGGTTGTAAGACCCTGATGTGATCTAATGTTGTATAAATTATCAAAACCAGCATAGGTAGATCAAAATCAAATTAGAGTCTAAAAAATACACTTAAATTGTACATGTTGCATTGAATTAATTTTCTTGAACTTGTTACTGTTTTGACTGTTTAAAAATTGCAGTGTTTGTGTACCACCCTGAAAACAATGACTCGGTGCTTCATGTATCGGAGGAGGATTACACTAACTGCAATACAGCAACATACCTCCAAAAATATTCTGATGGGCACACTGTTTTCCAGCTCAACCACGCCGGGCATTACTACTTCATAAGTGGAGTGAAGGACAACTGCCTCAAGAACCAAAAGATGGTGGTTGTGGTGATGGCAGATAGAAGCAACAAATCTTCGAGTTCTAACCAAACAAGTGTAGCATCTTCTCCCCCGTCTCCCGCTCCCACTGGTGACGAGTCTCCACCATGGGGGACGGTACAAATAGTCCCATCTCCAGCTCCTGCCACCGAACAGACCCCTTCTCCTCCTCCTCCTCCTCCTCCTCCAAGTGGTGCCTCTTCAGTTGTTTTTTTTTATATCGGTTCGATAGGAGCTCTTGTTGGTTCATCTCTTATTTTAGTTTTCTAAATCCAGGATTTGGTCATTGTTTTATAGCTTGTGTGTTTTTTTGTTTATGATTTTGCACACCTTGGTCTCAGTGTGTTGAACTGAGTCTTTTAAGGGTATTATAAATTGGTGTTTGATATTTATTTGATATTATTGTTGAGGGAATAAACTGAACCTATGTGTGTAGTCTGGGTTGATCAGTACTTTTTCACTATGTAATGAACAATGTATATAGGCAAATAAATTGGTTTTTGTGCTGTGTGGATATAATAAGGAATTTTAGTTCATGTGCATCCTCATCTTTCTTTAGCAATAATAGTCCCCAACCAAAATGCTTGGTTCATGAATTATGAATCTAATGAGGTGAATATATATATATATAAATATATATATGCGCACGCATATGTTTTTGTACCCACCTACGAGATATCGTGTTCTCCCCTCCCTACCAGATAGAGTGTTGTACTGTTGAAAGACATCGATCAATTAAATATTATTATTGTTAATTTTACATCTAATTTTCTTTATATTCCTCTTTTTTCTTTTTCTTTTTTTGAGAAAATTATGACTAATTTATTTAATTATTTTCGTCAATTTTACATCTAATTATCTTTAGATTCCCCTTTTATTTAGCATGCTTTCTAGAAATTCACGACATATTAATTTAAATTCTAACCCTTTCTCTGTCCATAAATTCTTAGACCAAAATGTATAGAAAAAAAATAATAAAAATAAAAATAAATTTGAACTTGAGCGTCATAAATTTGAATGAAAGCTCCCCAGATCAGAAGCGTGTTACCATCATCTCACTCAAACAAAACCCCACCATCTCATGTTGTCCACTAATCTCACATTTGTCAAATTATGAAGTTGATTAAAGTAACACTCCACTAGCCCCTACGGAAACTTGAACTATCAACCTTCTACGAACAATGATTTTGAGTTTAAGGTTGTATTTTGAGTTTTAGATTTGGCTTTTGGGGTTTAGAAGTTCTAGGGTTTTGGGTTTCAGGTTTTGGGATTTAGGGTTTTAGGATTTTGGTTTTTTGGGTTTCAAGATTTAGGGTTTGGGGTTTCAGGTATGGTGTTCTGGGTTAAGCACCACTAGGCCCTTTGGTGGTGATTTTTACGTTAAGTGCTAAGCAACAAGAACACATTGATTCAGTGAGTTTATTAAAATGTCAAGTTTAAACTATATTAATCGGTATATCTATTACATCTAATCCAGTGTAATGTGGGTTAGTGCATATATATATACACACACACACACACACACACACACAAACACATTACCTCCCAGAAAGGTTTGATTTCATATCTCCACCGCCGCACACAAACGTAAGCACTTTATATAAATATTTTATTTGAAGAAACACGGATAATATATACACAACCGATTAAGTTGCTATAATGTAAGTGCAAAAAAGGAAGGCAATTCATATGATGCAGTGATCATTTTCTATATCAGCAATTCAATTGTCTAACAGTTACATTTCTCATGCTTCATTTCAATTTTAGAAAAGGAAAACATCAAAAGTAATTTATAGAAAAGCTTCCCAATTAAAAGGGTATGGAAAATGAATGGTTCTTTTACACACTGACTAATTCATCTTTCTATCAAAAATTTTTGCCTAGTTCGACCTTTTTCATCAGTCTGAGAGTGTTGTGCAGAACTGAGTCCAATATCCCAGCAACCTGATCGCATCAACGCATAAAAGGACGTTTAGAAGAGTATTGGCGAATACTAAATTGTAAAAATAACACAAACCCGAAATGAATGACCAACCGTGAAAACGCCACCGATAATGGCGCACATGTTTGTGATGAAGTGCGAAAAGGACCTGGGATTTTCTGTTATTAAGACCTGATCACAAAAAAAAAAAAAAAGGGGTCTCAAAACAAATAAAGTATAAAGGCACTGAAATATTCACAAGCTGTTTGAGCATTTAGAGGATTGATTAGAAACCTGCATCGGTGACAGCTCAAAATGGAACTTCGCTTCAGGGATATCTACGCTGTGTACCAAACTACTGTGAGCTGTGTACTCGTACTCCTCAACTAATTTATGTTCACGAGATATTACTTCCGTCTTTACAACTTGAAGATAATGCTCTATCTGCAAATTTAATAATCAGAAAACTGCAAAGACTGTATTCCCATTCATACCGGACTGATTAAGGCATGTGATTTACGATGACGAAAACTGCAAGCCCATATAGTCATTGAATATTAAGCACTTCTCACATTCCAAGATTTATTAAGCATCTCAGTTGCAAGAAAGGCTGTGAAATGATTAAAAGCACAAAATGGTGACTACATCTGGCTCACACAACACTTCTCTGGCCTCATCATTAGTGTTTTGGTGCTTTTGTAGTCCTTGTACAATTACCAATATAAAACAAAAAGAGAGCACCAGAAGGATGCCCCACATCCCACATGAGGCAAACAGATTAGTTCTATTTTTCCCAGGAAGCTCTCTCTGTATTTGTGTCTATAGCAACCAATGTTTTAAAAATACCGTGTATAAAATTTTGGTTTTCAGTTTTCACTAACATAAGACCAAAATGTCATCCAACACCTAACCATTCCTAAAACATGTGGTCTCCTAAAATACCATGGTGCTAACCCCAAAACACAAATACCTTACTTTTCTCTAGAGGCGTTACAATCGAGTCCATGGTTCCATGCCCTTCAACAGCATAGACAGAGAAAGGAGAGGAGAGAAAAATGTGTTTTTGTGTTGCACCAACTATTCAACCCTATACATCTCCTTGTGTGTGTCTATATATTTCACCCAATGTCTCAATCACCCACATCCAATGCTGCACTCTTATGACATGCAATTCAACCCAATGTCTCAATCATCAACATACCCAAATCCTCTTATTATTTTAACATTTTGCATCCTTCAAATTCAAATCACACACACACACACACACATATATATTATACTGACATAAAAAGATAAATCCCTAAAAGTTTTTGTGCAAGGGCTGATGCCGTTGATAGTTCAGTAACTGGCGTCAATTTTGATTAAATCAGGGTACCGTTGGATAATTCAAGGAAAGGAGTTGCTGTCTTGGTGAGATTCAAGCTGAAAAGGAAAAGGAAAAGGAAGAGGTGGATTGAGGCGATTGAAGAAGAGCCGAAATGGAGAAGAGAGAACAATCGAGGATGGTTTTCATTTCCCGCAAGGTATAAACAACACAGAAAGCACAAAAGCACCAGGAGGAGGATCCTTCAAGCCCCCCATGTGGCAAAGAGGGGAGTTTATTTTTTCTTTTTTGTTTTTTTCTTTTTATTCCCCGGCAGGTAAGACACTTGCCCTAGTTACTCTCTCTATCACACACACACACCATTGTCCCTATGACCTTCAAATTTCAGATGAGTGCTGGATGAACCAATTAAGTACATAATTTCCAAACATGAAACATCGGACCATAGATATGGTCCTCCCGGTCACTTATCAATTTTTTCAAAATTTTAACTTGGAAAGTGGGAGTAAATAGTTAAACTATAGTCAAACATGAGTCCAGGGACAATACTCAGCAAAAAGCACATTCCTTACCCATCCATATGCTATGCAAATTGTTGAAGTATGTACATTTTAGTCATGCATGTCCAGGTAACAACTTAGACTCCAATCTTTCTTTTTTGGAAGACACTGTTATTAAAGGCTCAAGGCACAACAAGGCACTAGAGGTCCTTTGGAGCCTAGGCGCGAGGCGCACGGTGAGGCGCAAGCCTAAGTGAAGTGAGGTGCACAATTAAAATTTTAAACTATCATAAAAGCATTCATATCTCATAAGTCATATCAATATAGATGAAGAGATAGAAGTAGATGAGAAGAGAGAGAAAGTGTTAAAAAAAGAAAAAGGAGAAAAAAACAGAGCCCGAATAAAATAAAAAAAGGACTGACAGGAAAGAGAACTAGACGAAGAGAGAGAAGTAAACAAAAATGAGAAGAGAGGAGTAGAGGAGAAGAGAGAGAAGAAGAAGAAAGAACTGACATGGCTTTGTCATTCGTCTCTGCAACTAGGGCTTCGTCATTCGTCTCACAGTTTTAACTCTTTCTATGTTCAGTTGACACTTTGACTCTTGGGCTTTCTTATTTGTTAATTCTTTTGAACAAAAGTCCCTTCTCTCATACGCTTAGGCTTTCTTATTTGGTTATTAATTTGCCCAAAGTACCCCTTTGGCTTAAGAAATAAAATAATCATTTATAAAATAAATAAAAAACAATGAGGCGTGCCGCGTGCTTGACAAATAGGACGAGGCGCAACCAAGGCGCGCACCTAGTAAACATCAGTGCACCTGGGATGACATTAGACCTGCGCCTCGAGCCTAGGCGCGCCTTTAACAACACTGAAGACATTACCAAGACTAAGTCCAACACAAGCGGACAATGGAACAATACACTCTAAGCAAATCCTTTATCCACAATTCAATGAATTTATCAATGGAAGATGCACTGGGCAGCAACAAGAGAAGGAACTAGGCAGTATACTAATTGACAAGAACACAGAATAATACAAAAAATATGGTACCAACCCAATCTCACCACATCTCCAAGAAAACCCATGTTACATGGACTCTTCTAAATGCCTGAAGCACTGGTATTGGAGATATCAGATTTGGGTAATGGTATTCGATGAGTTTGTTATGTCTTGCTGGGCATGCACTTAGCAAGCATATCACCACGTCTCCAAGAAAACCCATGTTACATGAACTCTTCTAAATGCCTGAAGCACTGGTATTGGAGATATCAGATTTGGGTAATGGTATTCGATGAGTTTTTTATGTCTTGTTGGGCATGCACTTAGCAAGCATATCACATAATTTAGGCTTGTTATATAACTGATTACAAAACACTTACTATATTGCTTTGCTACAATAGTGATCAAAGCAATTGAAGTATCCATATTGAGCACTATATGTTATATAAGAATCGGCAATGCTAAATAAGCCCAACACTTGGGCCGAGAGCATCCCAACCACGGGATACTCTCATGTGGTCATCCCATGAGTATTCCATAGTTGGGACGATCTTGACCCAACACTTCCATTGAACTGTTCGGCTTGCAAAGCATTTTCCTATAAGAATATCATTGATGGAGAACAAACCATGGCCCGAGAGCTTGAGGCACATGACCCGCACCTACTATTGGAGAAATGAGAAAGAAAGAGTTAGGGATTTTTGTTTATTTATTATTCTTATTTTAATAATGTTTTAATTCTAGGATAATCTAGTAATTTAATATTTTAGGGTTTTATTTTTTGTAGTAGGATTTTATTAAGGGTTTCTTGTTGCCTATATCTATATGGGTTGATACATTGAGAAGTCACCTTCTGATGATTATTGATAATTATATAGAAAGTGATTAAAAATTTCTTCTCTTCTTGCTCGTTCTCTCTCTTATTCTACTTGAACTTTGATATCGAAGCACCCCCTATCTGTCCTGCACCAATTTCAGTATTGGAGCAGAAGATTCACGTTTATTCAGAGCAACGGAAAGTTCCACACTGTTCATGCTGCAAACAAAAATACCCCCCTGTTTAGTCCTGCAAAACCATTACCCTAGCTCATCCTACATCACCTTTCTCCACCACTGTAATAGACTACAACCCAACCCAAAATCCTCCATCATCGAACCATCCATTTGAACCCTAAACCCCTCGTCACCCAAAGCAACCCTAGTCGCCGAAACCATCAACTCATACCCCACCGTCGCAAACCGACCAATGTTGGGAAGCCAAATCCTAGCCGCAAGACCCAATTGCAAGCCCAAACCCCCCATCACCATCGATCACAGAAACCCCTAGCGAACACCAAGCCAACACCCATCGTCGGAACCAGTCGTCGGAGTCGCGTCTCGTCGTCAAAGCATCTTCATATCAAACTCAAAGCCTTTTATTGCTGAACAGACAGTAAACGAACAGGCTCGTCACCAGAATTCTCTGTTGCCATCGTCGTCGGATTCCTCTCTTGCTGTCATCGTCGTTGTCCTCGGGGCATCTCTCTTCATCGTCACACCAAAGCCTCACTGTCAGTTAGTTGTCGCAACCAAAAACTCTGGACGTTCTCTCTCTATGCAAATTAGGGAAAGAAAGGCCGGGTTTACTTTATAACCCAGCTCGACCCACGCTCTGAAACTACATCCCAAATTTACCAATTTAATTCAAAATCAGCCATGTTTGGTTACAGCTTTTGCACTACGCTAGTTCTGGAACCAGTTCAGCCAAAAAAAAAAACAATATATGTATTTCAGTTTTCACAGCCACTGTTGGGTAACTTTCCCCCATTTTTCTTATCTATTTTCACTTGAATATTGAACCTAAATACCTGTGACTATTGTATGAATTTTGGTATAATCAATTTCATTGCATTCGAATTTCTTTCACCTAGAATTTCGCCTGGAATTGCTCACTAAAACCCAAAGTGAGAAGCATCATGCCCCAGACACCAACCCTGTCCCATTGCTATCACCACAAATTCCCAGGTAGGCAAGTAAGTCGTTTACCACTTCTGACATGTTTAGGGTTAGGTCATAAACATGGATCAACTCATTGACGACACACTTCAGAAAGTCATTAGTGAAGCTTTAGCTAAGCCTACCCCAGAGACACTCCAAAATGGGCCTTGCTCAAAAGAACCTGAGCTTGATGAAATGAATTTAAACCCCAAAAGGCATATCTTTACAGAACTACGTCACCAATGTTGTGAGGCTCTCATCACCCTTCTTCCCAAATATAAGTCTTCACATAGACCAATTGCAAGATTTCTGGCCTTGCAGTTCCATTACATTGGATAAGCTAAACATGCATTCGAAGTTTTGGCCAGTCAAATCAACAATGTGAATTTTCCGCCCTGAGCTTGACCTCCAAATTGTGCCCAAAATTGAATTTTTATTCAATTTGGATTTAATAAACCCATCCAACAACAACTTGGGTAGCAAATTTTTTACCAGCACTAAACAAGAACGAATAAATTCATGTTTGTATAGATTTTTCTGGTCTAAAGAGTGCATGCCCCAAGGATTATTTGGCTATAGATGACACTTTGATTGAGATAACAAGTGAAGACCTTGGAAAGGTTCCTTCCATGACAGCTCTTGGCCGCTTGTATTACAATAACATGCCCTTTATTCCCTTCAAACTAAAAGAATGGAAATGCCACAAACCAACAAACCACAACAGCAACATAACAGTATATGCTCCACATGAACCTTTAGGACTATGTTATTAACTTATTACCTCGTGTTGAATCGCATTGAAAGTAGGATCACCCCCTGACGCAGGACAAGTAGTGCTTTGATAGTAACCAAAAAGAAAGAAGGGGATGAGAATGAGAAGATGAGATGAGACTGATGAAGGAGGGGAGAAAATAGACGAAGGAGATGAGAAATCAGACTGAAGGAGGTAGGCTAGAGAGACTGAGGGATTAAGAACAGCAAGAACACGAGGGGGAAGAGATACAAAGAGAGAGAGTTCGCAAACTCACGTAATAATTCAATAATTCTTTAAAACTGTGTTCTCAAACTACAAATGAGCCTTTAAATAGGCAAATTATAAAGCAAACCCTAAAACATAAAAATACCAAATAACCCTGAAATTCAAACATGATAAAAATAACAATTAGCATAAATAAAAACCCTAAATTACTAAAATCCCCATTTTTATTTCTCTTTCCCTCTTCTCCAAAAGTAATGTTGGAACACATGCAACTCACGTGTGCAAATCACACCCTGTTCCCCATCAATTCTCCTCAGCTGAGAAAAACTCTTCTCCGAAGAGTTAAGCAGAAAGTACTCCTCGAAATAGCTCATATCAACATAGCAAGACTCAACTGTAATCCATGAGACGTCTGAAATTGGATAATACATCCATTGTGACTCGCTCTGACCATCAATAATACCCTTAATCCAATTCCAAGGCCATAGCTCACGTGATGGGAGGAGTGAGGACAAGAGTTGCTGCTGAAGAAAATATAATTCCACCTGTAGAAACACATGCTAACAACACAAGAGGCTCGAAGGCACCTCGATTAGGCATCAAATACTCCACATGAAAAAATGGACCAATACTAGTATCTGTTGACAAGTCAAATAAATATGCATTAGGTCCAAACTTATTAGTGATGTGGAAATGTTGAATGCCTTGGGCTTCCAATGAATTGAAGGAATTGTAAGGATAAGGTGGTTGTGGTAAACAAATTATAAGATCATCTCCTTCCAAGAATTTATGATTCCTATGATGAGCATATGCAATAAATTTATAATTTTTATTACTAAAAATAATTTGTCGTCTTATATCGGCATGAAGATCATGGACATACTCGACAAAGGAATCACATATTTTGAATGAACAAGAATGTGGAGGCAGCTAAATAAAGTTGATGGGCTGGTGAAAGAAAATCAGAGGTATAATCTCAAAAGAACAACTTCCAGCAGACCAATTGACCAAGCTATATGCAAACTCCACAACAGAGAACAAAAAGTCCGAAGTGTTTAAGGGCACTCTTACAAGATAACTAACCAACTTTCCTATACCATGATTAACAGCCTCAAATTTTCTGTCAGGACAAAAATGCAAAGGAAAGTTTCAAACTAGTGCCCAGAGATGCCCCAAGTGTTTTCCAAAAATAGCCCGCATACTTAACGTCCCTACCTGAAACAATGGAAGTGTATGAGTCATGAATTCTAACATCCTCTACATGATTATCTAGAATGGGATGACGTGGGACATTAGATTCAGGTGGTTGACTTTTAAACACATTTTCAGATGGAATTGTAAAACTTCTTTTGCCATTTCTCTTGTTAACATGAGTTCATCAACAAAAGGCTGAAGAGAGGGCTTATATTGTGCCTTAGAGTCACTTTCTAATGGCTTTGCGGGATTTAACTTGATATTTTTTCCATTACACTTGAAGGTATACGTGTTCTCTTTACAACAGTGATTCACATTTAAATCACGTATCCATGGGCAACCAAGAAGTACATGGGCCACCTTTATAGATAATAAATCACACCAAATCATGCCAAAGTAGTCACCCATTTGAATTGGAACTAAGCACCTCTCAGAGACCAACAAGGAAGTTTCTCCTACCCAAGCCACTCTATACGGTTGTGGATGAGGCTCGGGTTTGAGTTTCATTCTATTAACACCTGATTTTGATACCACAATTACTGGACTTTCCTTGTCAATGATGATTTTGCAGACTTTATCTCTGCATTGGAGATATGTGTGAAATAGGTTGGTTCTTCTCCAATCATCATTTTCCAAAAGAATGGATGGAACACTTGTCAAGGCATTATTGATGGACTGATCTTCTTTCCAATTTCCTGTGTGGTTATGGATTGGTCCAATTTTATTCATGACATTTAAGTGCTTAGGTTGAGGATACTTGCATTCTAAGACTCGATGTGGTTGAACAACTTGAGGTCTCCTAGCATAATTTTGGACTCAACTCTCTATGAAACTGGTTTTTCTCATTATGAATCATGACAATGGATAATAAAAGAATGCTGATATATTACTCAAATTGAATCAAGTAATCCAAAATTATAAAATACCATAATGCTCATAGTAGAAATTGAAATACAAGAGAGCTTGGCAAAAATAGGCAGAATTTTTTTTTTTTTTTATAAGTGAAATAATTTGCAGAATTTAGTGGTAGTGGTGACGAACAACAAATGGCAGTGAGGTACTGAAGTTTAATAGGTCAAGAAATAATGATTTTCAGTTAAAGTCCGGACCATCTTGCAAATTTATGGACTTCAAGCAGATAAAAGTATTGAATTCAATTTTCAAGTGAAGTAGGCTTACCTTTACCGAAGTCCAATGCAGCTATCCAAACAAAGAAAGCTCCAAAAAGTTTCTCCAAAAGCTGAAGTTGATCAATCCCACTTTGAAATAATTTTCTGAATTTTTTTTTTTCTTGGGTTCTGCTGCACTGTTTTCCTGTTGAAGATTGCTGAACTGTTTCTGGGCTGGTTTTAGAATTGGCCAAACCAATCTGATCCAATTCTCTTGACTGCTGTTTCTTTTCTTTTCTTTTCTTTTTCTGTTTCTGGATCACTGTTGTACTGGGCTGACCTTGTTCTGAACTTGCTTCCTAGACTGGGTCAAATTGTTTTAATTGATTTGGGGCGGGTAGGATCTGGTTTATTAGAGAAACCAAATCTATCCTTTCCAAACCAATTCTGATTTTCAAATCTGATCTTTCCAAACCAGAAGGTATAATCCAAAGTTGACTTTCCAAATTCAGTCGCGCTGAAATTTTGGTGACAATATTGCAATAATCCAAAATTGACTTTCCAAAATCAGTGGCGCTGAAATTTTGGTGACAATAACGATCTCAAAGATTGCAATAATCCAAAGTTGATTTTCCAAAATCAATCCCTGAATTCTGTGCTGAAGTGGTGGCGATACTGACAATAACCAAATTTGACTTACCAAAATCAAACACTGAATTCTCGGCTGAAGTTGCGACGCGAAAGATGGCAGCGATGATCAGAAAATCTCGGCGATGAAATCGATGGAAAACTCTGGTGAAGACTGTTCGACAACAGGCTGATTTCAAGATGTGATAGACGATGATGAGAAAGCCAACAATGATGCACAACAGATGAAGGAGGGCTGACGGCAAGGGATATTGGCGACAAGAGAGAACTCCGGCAATGATGATCTGTGATTTTTCACTCTGAATAAACTTGATAGTTTTGCTCTGATACCAATTGACGCAGGACAAGTAGTGCTTTGATAGTAACCAGAAAGAAAGAAGGGGATGAGAATGAGAAGATGAGATGAGACTGACGAAGGAGGTGAGAAAATAGACGAAGGAGGTAGGATAGAGAGACTGAGGGATTAAGAACAGCAAGAACAGAGGGGGAAGAGATACAAAGAGAGAGAGTTCACAAACTCACGTAATAATTCAATAATTCTCAAAAACTGTGTTCTCAAATTACAAAGGAGGTCCTTTAAATAGGCAAATTATAAAGCAAACCCTAAAACATAAAAATACTAAAATAACCCTGAAATTCAGACATGATAAAAATAACAATAAGCATAAATAAAAATCCTAAATTACTAAAATCCCCAATTTTATTTCTCTTTCCCTCTTCTCCAAAAGTAATGTTGGAACACATGCAACTCATGTGTGCGAATCACACCCCATTCCCCATCACCCCCACAAACCTCACACAAGTCTTCCTAGCTATGTCGATCACTACCACACTCTCTCTCCCCTAAGGCCATCTTAAGTTCTACCTATCCAATCTCCTGATCTCCATTATCTCACGTGTACTGCCTCCATTTCCATAACAAAACCACATATAAAGACAAGTGACTGATAAATTTAATAAAAATTTAAAACTTACAGTAACATTTGCATTTGTGTCATCCGGATTAGTCATATATGCCTGGCCATTCAACTTGTCGTGGCTTCCACCAAGATATGGTAGTACACGTTTCATATCACTCATGACCCTTGGAGAGATCTTCTTACCAAATGAAAGATGGGAAATGAAGTGTGACATGTTCATCTGAGAAGCATCAAAGGAATGGGCTCCTGAACGAGCTGAGATGACAAGGTTGCCTGGAACCTGCATAATATAAGGAATTTTTTCTTTTGAATTCGATAAAATTTGATGGGGAGATCTAAAAAATATACTGCCATGGCAGCATTTGAATTGAAAGAGATGTAGTATGCTAATGTTGCTTTCAATTAGATAAGTAGTTTACCTTCTTGACACGCACAAAACCTTCAATTTTACATCCTCCTGTTCGTGGTGCAGGTCGTTTTGCATCGTCTGTCATATTGCCAGATTTATTCTCCAAAGCTAGCCTCTGAGGCTCCAATGGGATAGGTGCAACCAAAGATTCCATCAGCTGCAAGAATGGAACTATAAATCAAGTTATGCAGCACTCATTATGACAGGCAATGTATTAGAAACACCTAGATTAATGTACAACATTAATCGTATGTGTAAACAAGATAAAAGACAGAAAAAATTGAACACAGTTATGCCAATTCAAACCAATATCTATTCGCACCGCGACAAGGCTATCTGTATCTCGATCTCCATAATATGATTCATGATCATGGTGCCCATGATCATCCCTGTTTCAAAAACCAATCACACAACAAGTTGATTCATTAGAGCAAAGAAGGAGCCGATGACCTACCCGGATTCCTCTCTATACGAGAATTGTAAAAGGTGCCATTTTATGCAAAGTATGTAGTAGTAGGGAAAGAAGATAGTAAGAAGAAAAGGAAACGAAAATGTATCTGATTCATTTACCAAATTGGAGATTCCTAAGAGTGCTTAACAATACTCCTTCCACCATTAAATTTATTATATAGTATCAAAGATGACATAAAGTTTCATTAAATAACCTAAAAATGTTGGTATATGTTCAGTACAAGCACAATATATGATAAAATGAGATAAAAGACTACTTGTCTCTAGCAGTATACACAATAATTTCAACTTTCAATTGGAGTTCCATATAGTTAGAACACAATGAGAACTGTCTTTTATATATACGTGAGGAAAAAGAACAATAAGGAACAATAACCTTTGGAAATGATCAAAATTCTAAAACCACGATTCCATTCTATAAATGTGCATCTATATAATAATAATTTTCTTCACAGAATGTATTCAACTCAGAAAGCATCATACAAATTGTTTCATACAGAAGGTAAATATATATGAAATACAAGTTACTTACCTAACATCACTTCCTTTACGGAAGATGCGAATGGATGGATACCCTTGTATGTGATTCCTGGAAATTCATTATAGTCCAAATTAATAGAAAACAAAAGGCAAAAACAATAATGCATAACTACCAAAATAAAAAGGCAAAGTAGTAACGATGTGAACCAAAGGAAAGCTACAAATAACATAAATTATCCTTTATGAAAAAATAAAAAAATATAGGATGCTTCCAATCTTCAGGGATATAAAGAAAATATCATAGATTGCATAGAAAGAAAGCAATTAATAGATTGCTTGATGTAGTTCCAAATAACAATTAGGTTGAAATGTGGGCTTGATATGAGACATGGGACAGTTTTAAATTGTAGTATTGGGATCAGGAGTGCACATGAGCCAGTTCGGTTCACGTTGTTGCCAAACCTAGAACCAAATTGGTTCCTGTTGGGTCTCACAAAATAAAACCAGATCAAACCGAACAATGCAATATAACTCAAGTTGATTCCCTTCAGTTCTCAGGTCGGAAAAATGTGTGTGAAAAGCATTTAAAATTTTGAATGCACTGATTACTGATTGCTAATGGACTACTGAGACACCCAAATATGGATGTGAAAGTTTCAGTATATCTTTTACTAGTGAGTTACTACATTAACCGCACCATATGAGACTTAAAATGATGGAGACTTTTCAGCTTACTATAATGGTCTTTGAGAAGCAAAATCATGTGTCTGCTTGCTGCAATACCAAGGGTATTTCATGCTTAACACAATTGCAAAGGTTAGGTCATGCTTGGTAATGCTTGAGCTTGACCCACAGTGAGTTAATTGTGTAGATGTTTCGACATTCCTTAAGCACCACTAGATCCAATTATCCCAATGTTATATTCTCTTAGAGACAATAATGACTTTAGTCATTGAGAAACTGAAGAAATATCAATAGAGCTTCTCTGTCATCTTCTAACTAGTGTAAGCTGTCAACAGAGAAAATCAGCAACGCATCCCTCAGAAGATACACAAGGCCTAATGGGGCCTCTAAACTCTCAAAGAGTCCAAAAAAATCAACTATCTCCTTCATGGATTTACAATATCTCCCTAGAACCCAACAAAAAAGAGTGCTAATAATAGAGAACTTCAACACCCACATAAGAGTCTCCTCTTTGAAAGGATCTCCTATTTCTTTCAAGCCATAAACACCACCAGACGCATAAAGGCGTAACCCTCCAAAAATCACGAAGTTGGGCCCCCACTATACAACCTCGCCAAGCCTCAACCAAATTTCTGGAAGACCTGGGCATAAGACACTGAACCAAAAACAAACTCAACAACAAAATACAACAATCCCGAGCCACAGGGCAATGCAAAAAAATGATCAATGAAAATTTATGCTAGTGAACAAAAATCTTATCTCTAAGAAGCAGTGCAAACAAAGAATCGATTTCCATGGATTATGTTGAGATATTCACTTCTATATGCCAGGAAGCATAAGAAGGGAAACATTTGGTGACTAAACAGCTTGTGCTTGATGCCATTTTTCCTTGGACGAGTTGATCCATCTGTGGATGAATCTTTCAGGTCAACGAGAACACCATGGATAATTCGAATTCTTCGAAGGCATCATGTGTTTTCAAGCCTTAGTATGAAGGTACTGAAGCAGGAACATGGGAAAAAGCTGAGAAATACAGATACAGGTACCAAGTTGTTAAACCAAAGCAGATACAGAGGCAATTCCAAAAAGAGAGGGGGGGCCAGGAATCCAAACTCTTTAATAAAAACCCAGAGGATTATAATAGTTTTTGGGATATAGTGTTGAGAAACAGAAGAGGCAACAATCAAAAAATAAGAAAAATGCTCCTTCTGATGTTCCGCTTAACTTAAGCAGCAAAAGATGTTTGTAATTTGTCCAAGATGCGGAAGAACATTGCACACAATAGTAAGGAAGAGTGAGAGAATGCCTTAACTTCTTCCAAGACCAATGGATTGGATCTCAAATAGTCTAGTCTGGAAAACAAACCATTTGAAAAGGGTGTGACGAATTCTGATCTTTTGGAGCAGAACCACTGATATAACCCTCAAGAGTGGAGTTTTCCCAAGTCCAAGAGAAATGATGAGGATCAAGATATGACCCAACTCCATGTGCAACGTGTGACTCAAACCTATGTCAGATGTAGACAAAATAGAGTTTTAGGGTGATCTTCAATTTTCAGAGATATGATAGGAATTAAATTATTTAATTTTTGTCTTCTATATTATTTAGTATTATGTCTTGTTTAGCAGTTGTTTAGGTTGCTGACTGGTTTGACTATGTATAGGCATTAATATAGTCGAACACAATTCATGTCTTGGATAATTAATCAAATCACATGCTTCTACAATCTCTCTCTCTTTCTCTCCCTCTCTCCTGTTCATTTCCCCTCCCCGCTTCTTCTCTTCTCTCTTCTATCCGTCTCTTTCTCTTCCCTCTGCGTGCTTCTTCTCTCCTTCTCTTTGTTCTCCTAACATCTTATATCTTCTTTCTTCTGCTCTTTCGCCATCCTTCTCTTCTTCTATTTCCCATTATCTTCCTTTCTCTTCCTCTTCTATCTTTTTCACACTTCTACAATCTCTCTCTCTCCCCTGTTATTTTCCTCTTACCCTCTTCTTTTCCTCTCTTTTTCTCTTTTTCAAACTTTCCTTTGCTCATCTCTTCTCTTCTCCTCTTTCCTTTGTTCTTCCCCTCCTGCATCAATTGGTATTTGGCAAAGTTATATCCATCTTTATCTTCTTTCTTCTCCTCTTTTCTTTACCCTTCTCTTCTTCACTTTTCCTTATCTTCTCTGTTCTCTTCCTCTTCTAGTTTTTTCCTCATCCCTTCTCCTTCTTTCCCCTCCTGCATCAAGAAGCTTGAGGAGGCAAAAGCTGCAAAAAACATAGTGAACGAAGAAAAGCACTTCTTGGAGAACAAAGGCAGTAAGGGACCAAGGTATAACTAGAATTCTAGATTAGCTTGAGAGAGCAATTCCTTGTGAAACATTTAAAGTAACCAGATGCACATCTTCTGTCATGAACATTGTGCTTTACTTTGTAATGGCGACAGCAGTTAGCACAAGACTTGTCGGGAGCCTCAGGGTTCAGATTACATGAGTCATAAAGGACTTCATTTAACAAGCTGATGAACCAGATTCTATTGCAAACTAAGACAGCCTTAGCCTCGTAGAGTGAAAAGGGAAGACACTTGGCAGTGATCATCTTTCTCAAGGTCATGGAAGCCCATAGAACAAGAAGTTGCTCTGCCCATGACCACCATAAGTCTTCCGGAAATTTGTTGGTAGCCTCAACTAGACCATTTCCTTCAGGCTTCAAGGCAATATGAGATGGGGAATAGTACCACATGAACAAAGAGGTCTTGTCTGACATGACATAGCGGTGGAGAAAGCACCATTATCCTATATTAAAGTGGTCAGGAGTGCCAGAGTGACAATTTGCTCAAACTGAAGTTCGCAAATGCAACACTGGAGGACTTGAGGGAATCACATTGCAGCTAGTCCTTGATTCATACTGCCTAGTCACAAAATCCAAAGGATCTGAACAAGATCACAATGCGACCACAAGGTCAATCCTGCCATGTTTGCATCTTAAACAGTTCCTTCATCCATTTTCATGACTTAGACAAGCATCGCTGCATTAGGATGTGTGCCTCATAGTGGCTTCGTAAAGGAGCAGAGGCCAAGAGATCAAACGTAGTACTAGAAGACCACGGTAATGTGAAATGCCTAGCTCAAGGCCAAAGCAATGTGCTACCCTCCATAAGGGACTGACAATATAAACATTTAAAAGTGGTCCATTGAAATCATCCACGCGGCATGAAGCTAACAGTTCATTTTAACGAAATATTGCAACTTGGAGGTTTTTAGGAACAGCCACGTTTGGATGTTCCGGACTGCGCCTTGTGATGGTAAGGTACAATGCCCATATAGGTTTTTGTATATTTGCATGAGAGTCAGCAACACAGCACATGATGACCCATGTAATATGTTTAGCACAAGAATAAAAGAGATAGATCTTTGCATATTCGTTAACAATAAGCAATCCAGCACATGATGACCTATAATACGTTAGCACAGGAAAAGGAGAGATAAATGTCAATAAACTAGCCAAGATGAACAAAAACATTAAAAGTAATTATCTTTAATTATTTGAAAGAATTGATGATTAACAGAAGTCCCAGTAGTATACAATATAAGTCCACCTATCATAGCCCAAACTCATGGACCAAGGATGCCAATAAATCTATCCTGCCAATGATTAGAGATGGATAAAAGAAAATGTCTTTAACGCTGTTAAATAATTATACAAAAATAGTAAAGATATGCATAACTCTATGAAATGTAAAAATATCATTGTAATGTCATACTTATAGAAACTATAATTACACGTAAGCAAATATCAGTCTCAGCAATACCTTCTACACAATTCACCTTCTTCAGTGCAATCAACCTTTCCTAAAAGAATACGCCCATCCACTTCTGGGTCAAATCTAAAAGCAAGCTTGCATGTGAGATTTTGAGTGCCGGGTAGTCAAAATAGCATTCCAACTCCAGTTCAGAAGAAATAAAAAAGTTCGCTTTTTATGAAGTTCATTTTAGGTAAAATAATAAATAATTAAATAGACAGACAATAGAAGATGCAAAATGAACCTCTCTCTTATAATTCTGGCTGTTTTCTCCCATGAAGGTTTCTGAAACAAATAAACAGAAGTGAGGCAAACAATACAAGTACTACGTAGGTTCCAAATGACATCCATCAACAATGAAGAGCATTGAAATGAATACTTAGCAATATTCTACAGACAAATATAAACCGAGCAAGTCATTGAGAACCAGTTGCAAATAATTTTAAATGAGTATATAAACTAAAAAATGTGTAATTATAGCAATTCTGAAGTACAAAACTAAGGCAAAGATAATTACTGAAAGACCACAAAACCCAGGCAAAACAGTCAGCTAGAAAGACTCAAGGGGGCAAGTGGGTACAGAAGAATATATCCAAGTTGGATCAGGGTTCCAGGAGGAAATTTTGGGTGGATAATGTCCCGTTCAAAGCAATGTATCAAAGCTGGCATAAAATTGCAACCAATAAAGCATTGGATGGGCATATGGGATATCGATACGACACTCTTAAAATACAGAATACAAATACGACGAGGATATGACAATATATACATGTATATTGTATATATGTACAAATGTATAAATTAAAATACATATAGATATATACATTTAAAATAATCACACGTCATGTAATATGCATCCTTATTATATCATATCTATCACCCATACTGATGCAAATAAAGATTCTTTGGACGTTCATCTACAAGGGAGGGAAGACCAGGGACCTCTAAAATCGACATGCTAGTTCCAATTGTGGCCCTGAGCTCTCTAGATGGCAGAATTATATTGATTCAACCCACCCTCACCAATTCCTTATTTTTCTCTCCATCTTTACAATACTAATTACATTAGATGAAGTCCATTGGAATATTAGAAAGGATATTTTGTGCATCAGATGTTGGCATGTGTCTAGGCATTGTATTTGTCAAAATACGAAAAGCAAGGACACGGAAAAGCCTAAATATTCAAATTTTTCATATTTATATATTTTCTAAAATAAGATTGTAGTTTTATGTAATATTAAGTGTTCTTTTTTTTTTGTTTTTTGATAAGTATATGTAATATTAAGTGTTTGAATGAAGGGATTTCACTCATTTTGAAACAATAATGTTATAAAGGGAACATAATCTGCCTGTGGCAAAATTTGTGATCCACATAACATGCACACCCTTACTGGTTGGGACTTTAAATCATGTGGACCAGAACACCAATTGGAGACCTTAAAGAGCTATTTGCAAGGGATAGGCATTGGACTTGACATGAGTGATTGAAATTAATCAGATTCTGAAAGGATAAGTTAGTTCAATAGGACCCTTTTGATGATTCTTCCAAGATTCTATTGCCTCAACTCCCGAAATCCAAATCTGTTTCTGACATTTATTCCCACTCCATAGATGATCTCTCTCAGAAATTTTCTTTTAGAATAAAACTTAATGGCTGAAACACCTTGGAATCATCACTTCCTTCTCTAGAAACCTTTCTACAAACCTAATTGCTCAGGTAGAGTTTGGTCCTCATTGAACAGTTGCTCACAAGAACGTCAACACAAGAGATATTCTTCAAAATAAACATCCCATGGCCATTTCCCATGATGTGTTTCATGTGCAATCAAGCTGATCAACATGTTAGGAAATTAAGTCATGTATTGGCAAATTCCTAGTGAAAACACGAATGTAATTGTGTCATAGAGTCATTGAGTTGATCAGAGAACTTTAGATGAAGACATGACAGATACAAGATGCAAAGATGATGTACGTACAATCACTTGACCTTAGGTTAGCCTATTTTATTAACGGGTTGGGATAAAATACGGTTTTCAAAATTTAAACATGTTTTAAAAAGGTTTGTAATAAGTTGGATTTTCAAAACCAAGTAAAAATGTTTTTCAAATGAAAAATGGACTTAGGAGTTGAAATAAGAGTGTTCCGATAAATCAATCCAAGTATGGATAGACTGACACATGCCGATGGCCAATTTTGAACATTCTGGACATTTATGGATCTATGCGCCTATAGATCCATCTATCGGAAACTGTCCTGTAAGGCCCAGTTGACATCACCTATAGATCGATGGGTACATTGACAGATCAATGTGTCAAATCCTGTTGCACACAGGACTTTCCAAAACGCTGTTTTACATGAAGTTAACAACCTAAAACACTTAGGACTCTTTCCTTGTCTATAAATATGAATTTAGGTCAGAATAAATATGAATTTAGGTCAGACTAAATAGAGAGAGAAGCCTTTGACGAATCTCTTAGGGATTTAACATACTTACAAATTATTGAGAGATTTGTGAGAAGTTCACGAGTGGAATTTTAGAGCATAGTTATCTACCCAGTTTTGGGTTTATTTTTTGTCTATTCATTCTAGGAACCACATAGTTTATGTTTGGGTGATTGAATACAGATCAAAGAGGCTGAGAAATCAATCTCTGTCCTCTGCTGTATCAGGCTGATTTCTCAGCCTGATACAGCAGAGGACAGAGACGACAAGCAGTCAATAGAGTGGCAGGTGCTTTGAAAGAATGTTGTAGACAGATCAGTTGATGGCCTGGAGATCTTCGAAGAACGGAAGATTTGGTGTGAGCTGTGTCTAGAGATCAATTAACAGTTCAAATGCATTAGACTGTGACATGATTGTACGTCTCGTTCTCTATATTGGATTGTTCCTGGCCTTGTGAGGTCCCGTGGTTTTTTTCTCTTTTGAGGGATTTCCATGGAAATCGGTTGTCTCTTATTCTCTCTTTACCTTACTTTGTTTCTTTATTGTTAATATTATATTTGTGAATTGGAATTGAATCAAGGATAAGTATTTTCACAGGTTGATAATTAATTGATAATTGAGTTAAAAGAGTTGAAAAATATCGATAAGAATTCAGAAGACCTATTCACCACGACCCCCAGGTATAATAGATCATAACGATCTTGTGCGTTTTACATTCAATTGTTATTATACTGTCTCAGTCGAATCACTCTAGAATTGTAAGAGTTTATCAATTGAAATAACACAACAAACCGAGCTGCTCAAGGGCAGCTTGAATTTGGTTTAGTTCAACCTCATTCTTAAGACTAGACTAGTCGAGCTTGGTCTCAAGTGAGAAGCTTGTTTGAAAAAAGCACACAAACTAGAGCAACACACAACTTAGCTCAATTAGGCTCATGAAAATTAATATATGATGTAACTTTAATCAGTGTTTAGGTGTATCTGAAGGGCTACGATCCAAAGTTCACTGAATGAGAGAGAGAAACGGAAAAGACAAAGTTCTTTCACTATTGCTCTCATTCCAAAGAAGGGGGGAGCGACGGACGTCAAAGATTTTAGACCTATCAGTTTGGTGGGGAGCATTTATAAATTGATTGCCAAAATTGATTGCCAAGGTTCTGGCATTAAGATTGAGGGATGTTTTGGATAATGTCATTTCGGATTCTCATAATGCTTTTGTGGAAGGACGTCAGATTCTCGATTTTGTTCTAATTGCTGGAAAAAGTGTGGATTCTAGACTCAATGGTGGGGTTTCGGGTGTTCAATGCAAATTGGATATCGAGAAGGCGTACAATCATGTTACTTGGAGCTTCCTCATCTACCTCTTGGAGAGGATGGGGTATGGAGAGAGATGGAGGAAATGGATTGAGTTTTGTATTTCCAGTGTTCGGTTCTCGGTCCTTGTGAATGGAGCTCCAACAAGCTTTTTTGGTAGCTCGAGAGGGTTAAGACAGGGGGATCCGTTGTCTCCTTTTCTTTTCCTTATTGTGATGGAGCGTTTCAGAAAAATGATGTCAAGGGCAGTTGATTTGGGTTTTTTGAGAGGCTTTAGGGTTGGTAGGGATGTCAGCTAGAGATCTCCCATTTGATGTTTGCAAACGATACTGTAGTCTTTTGTGATACGGATGTGGCACATATGAGATACTTGAGATGTGTTCTAATTTGGTTTCAAGTCGTCTCTGGCTTGAAAGTCAATGTGGGAAAAAGTGTCTTAGTGCCGGTTAGAGAGGTTCTCAATATCTCTACGTTGGCTCTTGTTTTGGATTGCAACACTAGTTCTTTACCCATTTCTTATTTGGGTCTGCCTCTTGGGTTTCTTCCAGGAGTGTGGGCAGTTGGGATCCAGTGGTGAAGAGGTTTGAGAAATGGCTTGCTGGGTGGAAGAAACAATACATTTCCACAGGAGGCAGGGTCATTCTTTTGAAGAGCACTTTGTCGTGTCTTCCTACGTACTTTCTTTCAGTCTTCCAGATTCCCTATTCAGTGGCGGATAGGATTGAGAGGTTGCGGGGAGGTAAAGGGGAGGAGTTCAAGTATCATCTGGTGCAGCGGGAGAAGGTTTGCACTCCAGTGCGGCAAGGTGGTTTGGGAATCAGAAGATTAGTGCCTTTCAATAAGGCCTTGTTTATGGAAATTTGGGATAGAGAGACACAGACTTTGGAGGAAGGCGAGAGGAGGATGGTACACCCCCGAGGTGAGATTGCCTTATAGGGCTAAATGTATCTTTCATTGCTCTCATTCCTAAGAAAGGAGTTGTGTCTGATGTTAAGGATTTTAGACCAATAAGTCTTTTGGGTTGCATTTATAAGCTTATTGCTAAAGTTCTTGCCTTGAGATTAAGGGAGGTTCAAGACAGTGTCATCTCAAGAGTCTCAAAATGCATTTATTGGGGGCAAACAGATTATGGATTCCGCTCTCATTCCCAGCGAATGTGTGAATTTTAGGTTGAGGAGTGGTGTTCCAAGAATTCTGTACAAGCTTGATATTGAGAAAGCATATGATCATGTTGCAAGCTTGATATTGAGAAAGCATATGATCATGTTGGAATTTCCTGTTATATCTACTGGGGAGGATGGGTTTTGGGGAGAGATGGAGAAAGTGGATCGAGACTTGAATTTCTTCTGTTAGATTCTCTGTACTGGTGAATAGGTCCCCATCCGACTTTTTTGGAAGCTCTCAAGATTTAAGACAAGGGGATCCCCTTTCCCAATTACATATTTATTATTGTTATGGAGGCCCCTAGCAAAATGATGAGGAGGGCAATGGAGTTGGCCTTTATCGGGGGATTCAGGATGCGCCCGGAT